TTTTTTTTTTGGCAGTCATGGTGTTTGAACTCTGTGCCTGGGGCCTATCCCTCAGCTCTTCAGCTTAAGGCTAGTGCTCTACCACTTGAGCCACAGCGTCACTTCCACTTTCTGAGTGGTTTATTGAAGTCTCATGGAGTCGCCTGCCAGGGCTGGCTTTGAACTGTGATCCTCAGATCTTGGCTTGTTGAGTAGCTAGGATTACAGATGTGAGCCACTGGTGCCTGGTTTAAGCTTAACTTTTGAGGAACCAAAAAAACTTTTTTTTTTTAGTGTGTATCATTTTTTTTTAATTGTGAAAATACTGTACAGAGTGGTTACAATTACATGGGCAAGATAATGAGTACATTTCTTATCAAGCATTGTAGCCTCCTCCTTTGTTTCCCCTTCCCATCCAAAAAAAAAACAAAACTATTTTTTAAGGTAGCTGAACCCATTTACATTTCTACTTAAAATGTACACAGGCTCTAGTTCTCCACATCTTCTCCAATACTAGTCATTTGTCTTTTTATTTTTGTTTGTTTTTTGTTTGGGTTTTTTAACTTTTTGTTTTTGTCTTTTCTTTTTTGGTATTGAGGATTGAACCCAGGATGTTGGACTTGTTAGGCAAATGCTTTGCCACAGAGCTACATTCCAGCCCTATTTGTCGTTTTAAATACAGACATTTCAGTAATCATGAAGTGGCACCTCAATGTGGCTTTGATTTGTATTTCCTGACAGTTAATGATGTAGAGAATTTCTTCATATCTTTACCTTCTTTTGAGAAATGTCTTATCAGATCCCCTGCCCATTTTAAAACTAGATTGTTTGTCTTTTAGTAGTTGAGTTTTAAGAGTCATATAACCTGGATACCAGATCCTTACCAGATAAATGACTTGCAAATATTTACTCTTCTACATATTTTACATCTTGATTTTAGATCAGCCTGATCTGGCCAACTTATTATAGGATGTAGAACTGGTTATGCAGTTTCAAGTATCCCAGTGAGAAAGAAAGTGGGCTTAGAAGAGTTATAAGGCTAGGAACTGATAAGTAAATCCAGACCATTGGAACTGGGAGAGATTTTAGAGATCATTAAATTCAGTCTCCTCATCTGAGAGCAAATAAGCAGCTCAAGAGTAGGCAGAGAATTAGGGGTCAGAGGAGGTAGAATTTCAATTTTGAACTCTGGACTCTGACTCTTGGTCTCTTTCAACTCACCTCATAACTGATGGACAAAATTGAAAAAGACAAAATAACAACAACAAAAACAAAAATAAGACAATAGAAACAAGGAGAAAGAAATATTTCAAACTAAATTTGTTATCTTTACTATGGACATATGAAGCAGGAGTAGGAAGAAAACTCATAAAGGATAAAACTAGATTTAAGTCAAGAGAGACAACTGACTGTACAATTGGCACTATGATAGACTGTAAGGGGATAAATGATAAGATCATGATAAAAAAAGATACTAACACAAGAAAAGTATGATTTAATGAAATAAGGGCCACTATAGAGGCTGACAGGGACTGCAGAGCCTACTGGTTTCCAAACATTTTGTCCTTATACTCCTAGTTTTTTTTAAAAAACAAACAGTATCCCACAATTAGTTCATATATTCAATACTGCTTATTAAATGCATTTGCTGGGATGAGCAGGATTGGACATCACTTTAGTTCTTTTCCTTTTAATATGTAGGTAAGACTAGAGAGAGGTGTGTGTGTGTGTGTGTGTGCGCGCGCACGTGTGTGCGTGTGTGTGTGTGCGCGCACGCGTGTGCGTGCGTGCTGAGCCTGAGGCTTGAATTCAGGGCCTGGGTGCTGTCCCTGTTTCTTTGGCTTCTACCTAAGCCACAGTATCGTTTCCAGCTTTTTCTGAGTAGTTTTGTTGGAGATAAGAGTCTCATGGGAACTTTTCTACCCAAACTGGCTTCAAACTGTGATCCTCAGATCTCAGTCTTGTGAATAGCTAGGATTACAGGCATGAACCACTGGCACCTGGCTTAGAGGGATGTTTTGTTATAGCACTAACACTCTTTACTTTGAGCTAATCAAGATGCATGTGCTTAAAATCTCTTAGCCAAATAGTGTGGCTAGATGTATGATACGCATCAATAGTCCCAGCTGCTTGTGAGGTAGAGATTAGGAGGTTTGTCTTTTGAAGTTAGCCAAGCCACCTTCCTCCCTTACCAAAAAATTAAACAAATAAAGTTAGGCTGGGTGTAGTAGCTCATGCCTGCCACTTCAAGCTATGGCGTTAAGTACAGTAGCTGGGTATGGTGTTGCACATCTGTCATGTTAGCAAGCAGAAAAGTACAAATAGGAGGACTGCAGTTCAGGCATAAAGGGAGACTCTACCACCAGAATAACCAATGAGAAAAGGGCTAGTGCAGTAGCTCAAGTGGTAGAGTGCCTGCATAGCAAGCAGAAAAGGATGAAGGTACCAAGTGTGGTGGGAAAAGAGACTGCAGGTTAGGTACATTCTAAAACAAATCAATTTTAGATAAATGCAAGTATGAATGTTGAAGATCTGGAACTGGATTTGTTGAAATGTGTGCCCACATACTCATTATATACCTCAACATAAATTCCAGTCTGCCGGTATGAGTAAGTTTCTCTTAGTGTTTCTTAACTCTGTCCTTTCAAACAGTTCTGTGAGGTCTTACTATACTCATTTTATACCTAGAGCTAAATAACAGACCTAAGTTCACTTAACTATAAAATGAATTTAGGATGTAGACGTAGGTAGCTCTTAATTATTTTAATATTTACTGTTTCTCAGTAAATTTTATAAAGCTGTCTATAAGGATTCTTTTTATATTTGGGTTCAATATATTAAAAATCCCTGTACAGGTGGCTCACACCTCTAATCCTAGCTACTCAGGAGCCTGAGATTTGAAGATCATGGTTTGAAGCCAACCTGGGCAAGAAAGTCTATGAGACTTGAATCCTCAATTAAACACTAAAAAGCTAGAACTAGGGGCTGGGAAGGTGGCTCAGTGGTAGAGCGCTTGCCTTGTGTGCATGAGGCCCTGGGTTTGATTCCTCAGCACCACATAAGCAGAAAAAAAAAAGCTGGAAGTGGTGCTGTGGCTCAAGTGGTAGAGCGCTAGCCTTGAGCTGAAGAGCTGAGGGGCAGCACCCAGGCCCAGAGTTCAGGCCCACGACTGGGCCTCCCCCCCAAAAAAAAACTAGAACTGTACTTCAAGTGTTAGAGACCTAGCCTTGAGCAAAAATCTCAGGGACAATGCCCAGGCCTTGAGTTTAAGCACCAGGACTGGCGTGTGTATGTGTGCCTGTGTGCACGTGCATGCATGCATGCATGCATGCCTGTGAGTGCCCCCCTCCCCACATATACAGGAACAGAAAATGAAAAGTTCATTCCCCTGAGTAGTTAACACTGTAATATGGGGATCCTGAAAAAGCCTTATGCGTGCATGCTGGATTTGACCCTTACTGGTTGCATAGTTTGACCAAGTACTCTATCTCTCTAAGCCTTAGTCCTGTCATTTGGCCATAATAATAACATCATTAACAATAATATCTTGCTTTCTAGAGTGTCATACAATCTGCTTTTTACAAGATAGTGTTAACTTAGGCTTCTTGGTCCATCAAAAGTGTTCTGGTTTGACCATAAACTCAGATGGCCAACTTTTTTACAAGGCTATTTGAATACTGAGATAATGTATATGCCCTGCCCAGTACTAGAAAACAGTAAGTACTCAAAAGTTAACTATTATGTTAGGTATCAAATATTTTATAAAGTGTGTTATGTAACAATGTCTATAAACTTGCATAGTCTTTTTAGTTTCTACTAAATTCTGGAATTGCCTTCCTTATCCTTATCTTTACAACTATATAAAACAGATAAGGGAGGTATTACACTCAATTAAGAGATGATTTACTGAAGTCAGTATTGCCACTATTTGAGAAGACTCTGGGAATTTGTATGAGAGCTCATCCCAGTGGATTTTTCCTTTACAAGTTCTGTCATACAGTGCATCTGCACAAAGTAGAAGTCTAACCAAATGTTTCTCTATTTTCATATCATTGCATAATAATTTTGCCTTATATTCATTTTTTCAATGTTTCACAGTATCTAACCATGTCATGCATACAGATGGCACATAATGCCCACTTATGCACATAGACATCTATGTATGCACACACGTGTATAAGTATGCATATATGTATGTGTGCATTCATGTATGTGTAGTTATATATATATATTTACATATATATATATATATATGTACAAATTGGTACAAATACCTATCTTACCTTGGCCAACACAAAGCACTTTAGAACTTCAACAAAATTATGATTTTGCAAACTAGAGACAGCATTTTTACAGATAAACTTATTACAGATGAAGAAGGCTATTTTTTTTACTTAAACCTTAAATATGTTAATATATTAGGAATCATTATTCTATTCACATTGTAGCTAACTTAAATTGATTAGGAAAAATATTCTTGCTAAGCAATTCAAAATATTCAACAAAGATATTCTTTTGTTTGTTTATTTACTTTTTGGTGGTGCTAGAGATCAAATCCAGGGCTTTATATATGATAGGTGGATGCTCCACCCCTGAGCTATGTGGCTAGTCCAGTGTTCTCTTTTAATGACTACTGAACTACTCATATTTTAAATTATCTTTAAGTAGTTGTACAAAGCAGTTGCCATTCAACAAAGCAGTTTATGAATACAATGTATCTTGATCAGTCACCCCTTTCATCCTCCCAATCCCACTCCCTCCCTCAATTTTCTTAATTTTAAAGAATATGTATTGAATTTTATGACTGCATTCTCATCACCTTCCTCTCTTTATTCATCTACCTCCCTCCTTGAGCTACTCAACTTTATGGCCATGTACAAAGTGCTTAAGACCACTGATACTCAATATTATCACTTAATAGCTACATGACCTTGGGAAACAAACTTTTCTACCATTCAGTTTCCACGTTTACAAAATGGGGTCAACCATAGTACCTACCCTCCTAAGGCTGTGAGAATGCAATTAGCTAATGCAAATCAGAATGTGTTAGGCAGATATTAAGCACTGAATAAATGCTTGCATATATTAAGCGTATATTAAAAGCCCACTTAAGGTATTTTTTTTTTTGTTACAAAATTAAGCTACAATATGTTGTAGTTTTCAAAAAATGTTTCTGTCTTATTGGGCCAAATTGCTTTTAAATTTGTGAGGAATCATTTAAAATATATTTTCTTTTCTTTTTTTTTGTTGGTTGTGGGGCCTGAACTCTGGGCCTGGGCACTGTCCCTCAGCTCTTCATCTCAAGGCTATCGGCCTACCACTTGAGCCACAGCACCACTTCTGGCTTTTTCTGCTTATGTGGTACTAAGGAATTAAACCCAGGGCCTCATGCATGCAAGGCAAGCACTCTACCACTGAGCCAACTTCCTAGCCCTAAAATATATTTTCTTGAGCTGCATCTTTAGTATTTTTATTACTAATCAATTTTAAACTGGATATATATTTTTTTTATTGTGAGAATACCATACAGAGGAGTTACAATTACATGGGCAAGATAATGAGTACATTTCTTATATTTTTTTTATTGTGAGAATACCATACAGAGGAGTTACAATTACATGGGCAAGATAATGAGTACATTTCTTATCAAGCATTGTAGCCTCCTCCTTTGTTTCCCCTTCCCATCCCTTCCTATCCTCCCCCGCCCCCCCCCCCACCAAAGTTGTAAAGTTTGTTTTCAACATAACTACTTCTACATCTCATTGTTGCAATGGGTCCACCTGTATCCCTATTTAATCGATTTGTTGTTGCCTCCTCTTTGTTTCCCCTTCCCATACTCCCCCCACCTCCCCCTACACTATCCTCCCCCCCTACCAAAGTTGTAAAGTTCATTTTTTGACATAACAACTTGTACATCTCCTTGTTGCAATGGGTCCACCTGTATCCCTAGTTAAACGATTTGTTTTTGCCCTTCCCCTCCACAAATTATACTAACATCAAATACAGTGAAAGCAGGGATTATACCGTGGGGAGGGATATACCAAGCAACATAGAAATCATCTTATAAATATGTTAGAAACAATTGCATGAAAGAAAAAAGAATTTGAATACTTATCTTTGGGTTCATTCCCCTAACATCAACTTAT